GAGCCCAGCACTGTAGCTGCAGCTAAGGCTGGGGGGGATGAGGATTCAGACTGCAGACAGCCTGGGCTGGCTCCCTTACCCCCTCCGGTTCTTCCTGGATCAGGCTGCATCTCCGTTTCACCTTAACAGGAGTTTCATTATCCTGACCCTTCACTATTCGCTTCAGTGCTGGCCTGTCCAATTTCTCCGGCATTGATGGAGAGCGGTACAGGCGGCTTCTGTTCACAGAGACCTGCTTGGAGACAGGCAAGTGGGAAGGGAACAGCAAGTCATGAGGGGGCACTGTCACCTCAGCACCCCACACAACAGAGCCCCTCTAGGGCTGGAAGCCAAATAGCAAGTCTGAATGGCTCCGTAGCGCAGCAAGGACCCCTGCTCTGCAGGCACAGTCTTTGCTCTAACACCTGGGGCTCCAGCTTGGCCTTTTTCCATGAGATGTTAGTAGGTAAGTGCCTTGCCTCACTGACGTTGATGTCCTGCGTGAGGAGGGGCCCAGAGAGCAGAACAGCCATACTGGAAGACTGGTTACCAGCCACTGGTATCTGAAGGAGCAGAAACATTGCATTACCACCAAGACAGTCCGCTGGCAGTCACTGAGACCACGAGTCAGCCACAGGCCTGTGTTCCTGTGCCTGACTGTACCAGGCAAGGGAGAAGGACATATGTCTGGGGCTCATTGTACTTGGGAGCTGCTCTCCCTTACATTTTCTCACAGTGGGTAATGACTATAACATCTTCCCAGTGCCCTGAAGTGACCAGCAGCCAGCTGAAAGAAAGCTCCTCAGCACCCCCTGGCTCTTGGTAGCCTGGAATCGGGCGAGGTCCGGGACTGGCTCTGTGATGCTTGTTTCTCTGTCCTGGGCATGGCTCTGCAGCCTGTGACACAGGACGCAGCATGCAGGACTCACCTCCATGTCTTCCTGCTCGTCAGGGAAGAGAGCTGCAAAGCTGGCCGAGCGATCTGCTGTTGTGTGTGCGTAGGATTCCACCTCGGCAATCGGGCTGCCTAGCTCGGTCATCTCAGACTCCAGGCTTCTTACATCCTAGCAGGGAAGAGGAGAAAGAGTTTGGGGCTGCAGTGGTACCCAGCTCCCATACCTTCTCTGTTGTGTTTTCCAGCACCAACCACCAATCCAGAGAAACTCCAGAGAGTAGAGGCAGACTCCCTACAGTGCCTGCGTAGCCTCATTGCAGGGAGTATTTTCTAGAGCTTGCCTGGAGCAGAGTGCATGATCTGCCCCAGTGTCAGAAGAGGAATGCTTGTTCCCACTCCAGTTCCTGATTCTGTACTGGAGTCAGGGCTTCATTTGAGGAACAGACAGTACTCATGGTCAGAGAGGGAAGATCTGATCTAGCCCAGCTTCTTCTCCTTCCCCTCTCATAGGAGGAACCCTCACCCAGCCCGAGCTCTGTCGCTGTACTGCTACCCACTCCTCCCCACTCTGCGGGAGGGAGTCACTGGATTCTGAGGAGTTGAGCTGAGGAACTCACCAGTGGAGCAGTAAGGCAAGTCAGAGGATCCATCACTTCCTTATGGAACAGCAAGGGCTTGGACACATGCCATCCTGGATGCTTAAACCAGCCCCCCTCCTGAAACGAGAAGGGTCAGGAGCTCTCAGCTCTCTGGCTCTAGAAGGTGCTGAGAACTACCTTCAAGCCCCCACCCCTCGGGTCAAGAGCCCAAGGCAAGTTCAGCTCCAACCCTGGCATTAAGCAGCCACTGGGCACTGGCTGTGAGGAGGGTCACCAGCATGGTGGGTGGGTGAGAGCAGGAAGGGACTCTAGAGTTCCTGGAAGACTGCAATCCTCCCAAAAGCAGCACTCGCAAAACACTGTCATGTCCTAGGGAACTGCAGTACTGAGACTGCTCCAGCCTGCCCTTCGCTGGTCCAGCAGGGACTCACCATCTCACTGCTCTCGCAGGACATGGCGCCTGGTGTGCTGCACCGTACCTGGGGCTGGAACGGACAGGAGGGAACGCTCACTGGAGACAACTGTAAGCATAAACTCAGAGCTGCAGCCAGCATCCCAGCGCACCAACTCGCCACATCTCCCAGACAGCAAATCGCCTTTCTTTGAAGACGAAAAGGTACTCACCGGGAGAGACCTCAGACACTGCCTCTGTGACTCTCTGCAGGAAGAAAGATAGCCAGTCAGTGTCCTGGCCCCTCTTTTCCTGGCCAGCTTGCACCGCCCTGGGACAGGACTCCCATCCCTACCTGCATCCTCCCTCGCATCCACAGAGCCCTCCGAGCCCCGTGACAGCGCTCAGCGACAATTCAGGACACCTGTGACACCCCACCCCCGCCAGCAGGATCATGCCATTTTGTAGGGAGGAGAGTTTCGGAGGCCACGCCACGTGTCAGTGGCAGTGCTGCGACTTGAACGGGGGATCCTTTCTGTCATCTTACACCCGTTCCCCGTTTGTGCTGAACAGGACACAGCCAGCTGGCTGGAGACTGGCAGGACAGCTCAGAAACTACTCACTCGTTTCTCTGGTTTCCAGATTCTGGTGTCAACCCGAGTAAGAAATACTACCAAATCCAACACAGCTGGCACTCGCGCGTCAGCCTCCGAGACACCCACGTGCAAACATCACCTGTCCAGGCCCAGCAGGTGCTAGACCTGGAAGAGGCAGGTACTGCAGACACCCAACCACTGCGGGACGAGCAGCCGCTCTAGGCTCTTTAGGAACTTGTGCATTGTCCGCGCTCAGCAGCAACTGTCCAGATGGGGACAGCACCCGAACGGCAAGGACACGCTGACAAGCGAGTCAACAGCTGTTTCTGACAGCATCCCAGCCACGCGTGCCGAACGGGCTGGAACGTCCCCTGAACGGGCAGGCGGGCATAGCAGCGAAGCAACAATACTACCATCTCTATTCCTCAGCTAACCACTTAGATGGGCAGGGGTTGTGTTGAAATAAGATTCAAGTGGAGAAGCAGTACAAGGACTCGGCAGCTGAAAAGCCACAGGCCAACACTAAAATCAGCTCAGCTGGAAGTTTGGTAAGAAAGGAGAACCGAGGCATAGACAGATCCACTGCAGCGTGTTCTGCGCAAAGGGAGAGCCCTGGGCCAATCGACCCACTGCTAACACGCAAAAAATAGCTGTGCTTCAAACTCCCGCGCAGTGCCGCCACCGCCCAGATTTCCAGGTTCGTGAAACAGGCTGGGCGCGAAGCGGTCCAAGCCAGCAGAGCCCTAGCCCCTGGCCCCTGCCCGGCCAGGGGCAAGGCCGGCTCGCGGGATGGGGCGTCCGTCTGTCCGCCCGCCCGCCCGGGCCCAGCCCAGCACGCCTCGCCCAGGCACCAGACACCGCCCGCAGCTGACGGAGGACAAGGCTATTCGGACGGGACAGGCCCCGCTCGCAGCACGGCGCAGGCTGCCGCGCGGAGCCTGCCGGTCCGCCGCCCGCTGGCA